TCATTTACATGATTCTGGATTTGTAGAGACATGAATAATCATCAGAGAATAAAACGACCTCCAATAAGTTTCCTCAAAATTCCAACAACTGTAGCACTCTAATTCGGGCCATGGAGTTCATGCTTTCCATCAATCTACAGATTAGGTTGTCTAAGACAAAACGGCACATTACTTTAATCGAGGAAGCTCTCGATCGCATCAACAAATAAGTTTTACAGAGTATTCTCTTATGAATTATTTAGGCTCAGAATGTTTGCAGAGTAAGTGACAATGCATGAGGTGAACCACGGTGCGCCCATTTTGATGGGGACAGAAAGAAAGTGAACCCTGGTGGTCAACACAGATTACACAGTATAACTATGTATCCACGCCAGTTCAAGCATGCTAGTCTAGTAAAAAGTGACAAAAATAATATCACTACTTTTGGTTAGTTGTCTCTTCCTTAGGTGTCTCCCCACAGCCAGTTATAGAGCCACGTTTTCTCAAACTTGAGGAATGAAGATACCTAATCTGTCCAATCACTCTGTGCATTGCTTCATGTCTCATTTCCACTTGGTTCCCTTCATTCGGAAGCAGCAACAGAGAATAAGACGCAGTGGGGTTGACTACATCTGGGTATGAGCAATACGTGTCCTAACCAGTCAAGTTTACTAATCCGAATTCGATGTGACCACGATTCAAGCCCGAGATACTGGACGACTTATCTTAGTGTTGTCTACAAGCTGACCAAACTACGTAATCATCGATGGACGAAGACTTCTGAACAACTAATGTATTCATCACACAAAATTAGGATCTCGTAACCTTAAAGCACATCCAACTGCACAGCGGCACAGTATACGTGACCCTTTGGTTTCAAGGAAATATCACGTCTGCGCTAAAGGTGCTACAGTCGTGTGTACACTACTAGTGAATTGGAAATGTTAGCAGTTACTTCCTTTACTATTCCATCGCCAGTTGTCACGCAATCATTTAAGTAGGAGAAACAATGTACTAAGCCAATTGTTGACCATTAATCATCTGAGCCGGGGTAGAAGATATACAGTCTTGCAGTGCCAATTCACACTTTGAAGGTGCAAAGCGTAGACCGAACGGAGCAACGGAACTTGATAGTGTGCCAAGAGCGCTTTGCACATTATCCATACATTCAAACAAATAAAAGATGTTGTCAGCGTACTCTGAATTGCACATTTTTCCTCCATCTGCTCATTCAATACCAAACTTATGGAGATCCGTAAGTGCGTTCTCCGGTATTTCGTCTACGACGAAGTTGAACAGTAATGGTGAAATATGACAACCTCGAGGCACACCGTTGTTGGTTTAGAACGGTCGACTGAACTAGCTGTAGCCCTCTGTGCTACCAAGACCATGCAAATATACAAATCTGTATAGGTTTACTCTCATAAGGGACCATTCTTTGCAAAGGAGCGAAATCAACTATTATTTACGGTCAACTGAATCGAAGGCACCTTCTGGGTTGAATACCAGCGCGATCGTTGATTGATGATAGATGTAACGTAAATCGAGGAATTGAATAAACGCGAAGGCTCAGTCGGCACAACCACGACCTCATCGGAACTCTGCTTGCTGCTCGCTAGTTCTGGTATCCCAAAGAGGGGATTTGTCGTGTATAGGGCAAATAAAGGATGAAGTGGAAAGCTAGAAAGCACTGTGCAGCTGTCTTGACCTGGTTGGGTCTCATCAGCAGTGCGTATCCATCGACTCACCTGGGGATCGAACCCGGAACCTCACAGACGAAACGCAAGTACTCTACCAACTTGGCTACCGGCAGNCAGTTGATCAGGCCATTTTTCGTTTTCTATCTACATGATATAGCACAGTCCATCTTTACGAGCTTGTTGCGGAAATCGCATCTCGATCATCGCATTCTAGTACTCCCTAAAAGTGTCATGCGCGAGGTGTAACAGAAACCACCGTTTTTGGATAGTGATATATTTATACATTTAATACCGGCTTGTGGACAACCAAGGTGCCATCGCCAGAACAATAATAACAATAACAATAACTGGGGGATTACGGGTTGGGCTACAGACCATAAAAGAAAAAACGGAACTGTTGACATGGAAAATTACGAATAAATGGGATGTGCTTTACCGTACACTTTTTGAAATGCTTTGTTAGTGTTTTGTTTTATTTGTTTTGTATTTTATAGGGCACGGGACTTCCACAGGCAAACCGTACAGCATTCGCGCCACTGACTTCTATTCTGGGCCATATCTCTCAGCGCCTCTAATCAACGACAATTTTCATCCCTTGGGCCCCAACCTGGAGGGAGGGCTGCACCAACCGAAGCCAAAGCTGAAGCCAGCTTCTTCATGCCTCTACGCCATATCATGGTTTGACCGCCTCGCCTCTTCTTCCAGCCTTGCCCGGTACGTGCGAAGAGAGCACTGAAAGGTAGTTGATGGGCACGCATGCGCAATACGTGGCCAAGCGGTTGGAGGTGGTGCAGAGCGATTACTTCTGTTGGATAACGACTATCTCCACCCACTACACGATGACGGACCTCGTCATTGCTCGCCCGATGTTCCCACCAGACACGAGCAATGCTTTGGAGACATCGCTGGTTGAATACAGAAAGTCGATTAGCATCCTCAACGCAAAGGGGTCAGGTCTCGCAACCGTAAAG